CTCTTACAGCCTGCAGGAGTTCAGACAGGAGTTTGATCTGCCTGAAGGGGTGAACCATGAAGCCGTCAGCTGCTACCTTTCTCCTGATGGAAAGCTCCACATCCAGGCAGCTAAAGTCCCAAGTGTTGAAGCGGCTGAGAGAGAGCTGGCTATCAAGAGGAGCTCTGAGGAGGAAACACAGCAGAAAGTGACGACACAGGATGAAGAGCGCCCACCGGAGACCCCCAACAGATCATAGAACCAACTGAAAACATGGACAGATTTATGGCTGTTGTGTTAATTAAAAATGTCTGATAATTGGTGATTCCTCAGTCCTTTGTATTACAATTGAAGGATGTACATTTTTTTATGTTTGTTGTTTTAAAATTTTTCTGCAATTAAAAAAAAATCATTTAAATAAAGTTCACCTTTTTTATGTTATAGTTCGTTTTTATTATCCTAATATTGTTTGGATAAATTTCCCAATTTCGAAAATATTAATTTAAAACTTGAATGTACATTGATGATAAAGTAGACTTTGTTCTCAAATTTTCTATGTTCTTTTTCGCTTTATACACAAATATAGGAATTTAAATACACCAAGATTTGCAACTTAACTTTTCTGTTTGTTTTAGTTCGATTTAAAAATAATAAATAAAAGAATGTTTGAGGAAGCAAATTTTTTCCTCACTCACATTATATTAAGAAAAAAGTCAAATAGGTGGAATCACCCAAAAGCCTCTCTGAGGAAACTTGCTTTAATGGATGTAAAATAAATGATTTTCCATGTGGGCCTGAAAGTAAGTGATTCTCTAAATGTGACACAGTGTAACATACATACAAACTGAGACAATGTTTGCACGGTGTCCCTGTTTTCTACAAAAGTGGTTCCTGATCAATTATAAACTCGACCAACATAACAACAGCGGTAGAAACATATAGTTACGTTTTAAAAAATTATAAGTAAGTAGAAATKTATTAATAAAAATGATAGTAATATTATAAATATTAATAAATAGATTTGTAATGTGCTATAATGTCCACTAAATGGAGACATTTCTTCGCCCAGCCTCTTTCTGTAAAATTTTTCATTTTGTGCTGTTTCACCTGTTTGCCACTAGATGCCGCTGTACTTTTAAAGACACCTTCTCTCATCGGTGTTGGCATATGTTCCCGTTAATTTCGTTTCAAGTAATGCAGATTTTAATCAATGTTCCTGTCCTTTTTCCTTATTTTTTAAAAAATATTTTTCACATTTCCTCACTTCTTGTCTGTGATGTGAAGACATGATGGAAATTAATGGTGAAAAGTGTGTTTTATGTCAACAACCTAATCTAGATGTTTGATTTTTTTTCAAACACCAAGTCTATAGTTTTTTTTTTAATGATGTAGTTTTGAGTGCTCACTTTTCAGTTTTTTTTTTTAATAGTGCTAAACCTTTCATCTTCCCTTACTTTGTTCATTTAGGTCTAAAACAAGAAGTGATGGGGAAGTGGGGCAAAAACAGCAAGGTTTCAAACCCACTGCCTTCGTTTCAACATATTCTATCTCTGAAGAACATACGGAGGGATGATGAAACCTGGCAAACACATCGCCTTGCTGCTCTGGGATATTGTGTCAAGGCTCATGTCAATATTTTTGACACATAAAGAGAATTTATGAGTTTTCTGAAGAGGGAAGAGACTTTTCTTCTTCTTCTTCTTCTTCTTTTGCAAGAGGTTCACCTTTGGATGAACTCCACAAACTGGAGGCAGGATAGAAGTGAGAAGGAGGAGGAGGAGGAGAATGAAAGGCAACAAAAATAGAGGAAGGCTGAGGAGGAGGATGAGGAGGAGACAGCAAGGCTCAGCTCCAAGTAAATCATCTGCATTGTTCTCTTAATGCGGCGAGTGTGCACCAACACACACACATGCACATCCTGGAAACACCGGGATGTCATCACACACACACACACACACGTACACACACACACGTACACACAAAGAGAATCTCAGTCACTTCCTGTCTTAGTTTGTTCCCTTATGGAGATGTTTTTTAATGCAACATAATCCCCCTCTCTCCCTTGAACACATAAAAGAGATATCCTTCTATCTGTGTAAGTGGTTCTGACGGCCACCAGCTCAACACACACACACACACACACACACACACACAC